TATGGCTTCTTTAAATATTTCTCATTTTTTAGTTCAAATTTATGGTATGCGAATAATGCGATGACACCTTGCGCTGAATACAATTTGCTACAAAAAAATATACGTAGTATTTTTTGTGGAAATTTATTTTTTTACTCGATGTTTTGGATTATATTTGACTCTCTATCCTATTTTCAAAAAAAAAAATATTATGCAATAGAAAAATATCCTGGCACAGACTTTTTTTATAATTCCACTAAAAAAGTAGTTCTATTTAATAACAGTACTAAAATAGATTTTTTTCCACAAAAAGTCATTTTGAGCGTGACATATTTTGGAAAATAGGGAGAACATTTTGGGGGTTTTATTCAAATATTACTAATTTTGAACCAATTACCCAAAAAGTGAACACTTTTAAAAAGGGATAAAAAAGTAACCTAGAAGGTTATTTTTTTTTAAAAAACAGTGTTTGCCAGATTTGTATGTCACTGTTACATTTTATGTTACTGTAGCCACCGCCTATGTCAATGAGGCGTATAGCTGAGGCGTGTAATATATATATATATATATATATATATATATATATATATATATATATATATATATATATATATATATATATATATATATATATATATATATATATATATATATATATATATATATATATATATATATATATATATATATATATATATATATATATATATATATATATATAGGGGAAAGATCAAATACAAAGTGTGCTTATTGTGCAAATATTTGTATGATGCACATTGACATTATTTGCATTGCATATTGAGGTTCAAAGTATTGCACATTATAAAGTCATAAAAATAACAGTTGCACATTAAGGTGCAACGAGTTGCACCCTAAAAAGTTGGGTTTTATTACAAAAATGCCACCTTGCCTTTATGTCTTTTGGATCAACTCATCGGACGGTCAAGATGATTTTGTACTTTGTAAATTAAGAAGACTTTGTATTTGATCTCTATTATATATATATATATATATATATATATATATATATATATATATATACATAGATTTAGGATCACATACAAATTCATCCTAATTTACAAAGTGCAAACCAATCATGTCCATCCATATGAATCAAATAACGGTGTAGATGAATAACTCCCCCTCTAAAAAACCCCTCCTAATTAATACGGCCGATTAGTAACTAAACAAAAACTCCCCACCCATTAATACGGTCCATTATTAATGTTCAAAACAAATCCTACCATTGATTTTATAATATTGCACGGATGAGATGATTTTGTATTTTGTATGGGAAGCACACTTTGTATCCGATCTCAACCCTATATATATATATATATATATATATATATATATATATATATATATATATATATATAGATTACTCTTCCGGTCAGGGATTCCTGACCGGAACCGCCGTCCGGACGGCGGCGTTTGGCCGTCTTTCTGGTGGAATTTTTTGATGAAATTTTTATGACATGTTCTCCATCAAGTCTAGTTCATCCACAAAAAATTTCAACCAAAAACTCATTCGGGAAGGTCGTCAAATGATTTTTTCAAGTTAACTGGTCCGAAAAATACATATTCCGGACCAGTTAACTTGCCAAAATCATTTGACGACCTTCCCGATTGAATTTTTTGCTCAAATATGGTATGGATGAACTAGACTGGATGATGAACATACACAAAAAATTTGAGCAAAAATTAACACTGGAAAGGCTCCCAAATGGAGGAGGCCGGACGGGGCTCTGGTAAGAATTTTTTTGACCGGAATAGCACTCTACACACACACACATAATATATATATATATATATATATATATATATATATATATATATATATGTATATGTAGATGTATATATTACGCCTCAGCTATACGCCTCAATGCGTAATGAGGCTTACGCAATATGCAATATTAAAAAAACGCCACGACTACGCAATTCGCAATTTAGGACCCTGGGCCGCCCAAAAAATATAGCAAACCCGACCCAACCCGCCCGATGTAGCCAGCACCCATGTCACTGTAGCCACCCGCCTGTGTCACTGTAGTCACCGTCCATGTCAGTAACAAATTTGTATGTCACTTTTAAATGTCACTAACTCAATGTCACCGGAAAACATGTCACTGTAACCGTTTTCGTTTCGTGAAATTGTTGCCGCTAGCACTCCGGCCGTTCCCCCAGATCCAGCTAGAGATCCGAACGATACAACCTCGATCCATCCCTTCCCAGCCCACCTTTAACATCCCAGCCCCGACCACTCACCGCTGAACCCTAGCCGTCGCCATCCACGGATCTGAGCGAGGAGCAGCAATGCGATGCAAAGGAGTGGTCGGTGAGGCGATGAGATGGGAAGCACAACGAGGCACGACGAAGAGGTGGCGCCATTGTGGCGACATAGTGGAGGGGGAGGCAGAAAATCGCAGAGGAGAAGAACAGAGGAAAAAATTATGTGCAGGTAAGAGTGTGAGACACAGAGGAGCGTTGGAGAAGAAAGACGGTAAACGTGCGCTGCTCACTTTTTTGGGAATTCAACTTTTGGTCACATTTATTTCTCTTAAAAGCCCACGAGTTATATTCATGCCATTCTTTCAACATTTTAGGTCTACCATATCATCTGGCTCGTAAATAAATCTGTCCGCACTCATTTATTTCTTCAAAGTGTAGGGATAGTTTTTCATGGGCATTAGCTCGAAGTTCTTACTGATATGTATGCTAAGTGCATGTTAGGAGATGGGGTACGTTTTGTTCTCTCTTTATATGTTTGGACAGGGGAGGAGATGCAACAATTCAGAAGTTAAACCGGTCCTGCCTATTGGTCGAGAGATGTTGGAGGGATTTATTAACCTTTTTGCAATTATATTGTCATTATTATTAATTTATTACATAAATAACATTGTAGCGACATTATTTATGGACATGCAGTGTGAAATTGTAAATCAAATCACACGTTGGTGTATGCTGTTTAGCATGCTTTACTTTTGGTCGATTTCATTGCCTTGCCTATTCAGTCTATTTATTTTTTGGCGTTATCTAATATTTCTCTGATTATGTTTTTAGTTAAAATTTATGGTATGCCACCATACAATTTGCAGCAAAAAAATAATTATTTTGAGAAAATTTAACTTTGAATATGATGTTTTGGATTATATTTGAATTTGTATTTTTTTTGAAAAAACTATTATCCAATTGAAAATTATACGGAGTAGTTCTTTGGCAATACTTAAAACTTTACTCTACTAATATATAATCTAATACGGACTATTAAGACCATTTGTAGTGGTTGCATATTAAGAGTCAAAAGATTAAAATTGCAATTTTTAGACTCTTATTTATGTGTAGTGTGAGATTAAAAGGGGAGTAAAAGTGGCAAGGGAGTGGAGAAGTCAGAAGTGTAAAAATAGAGGGAAGAGTTGACAAAGAAAAAATAAATGAAAAAGAAAAGAAAATGGGGGACCGGCCGACTGCAGCTTCGTACGCTGCGCGTATGGCTGCCATTTAAACATGGATGACATCATGACGTCACCGCGCACTAAATGGTTTATTCCAGCGGCCAGATTTTTTTGAAAAAAACTTTTTGAAAGATCCGACGGTTGAGATCATTTCGACACCGTTCCAACGTAAAAAAAATGATCCAACGGCTAAAATTAAAATCCAACAGTTCAAATTATTTATTTTATTTTTACATTATTTTTAATTAATATTTGATTTAAAATTCTATATAAACACCCTCATTCTTCATATTTTGATCACACATCTCCCATCTATCTCATTCTTCATATTTTTTTATATCCATATTTTTGTAATGTCTTCCTCAAGAAGGGGTGCTAATTGGATTGTTAGTGAGGATGTTGCTCTATGCAATGCTTGGGTTATCATCTCGGAAGATGAGGTCGTCAGAATAAATCAACTGGGGGAGAGTGTTTGGAACCGAGTTCATGTGTTTCTGAAAAAAGTAGTGTTCATCGGAGTCGAGATTCAATTGAGTCTCGTTTCAAGATCATCAATCACCAATGCTCATTGTGGAAAGGTTGTGTGCGGAAGGCAAATGCAACCCCGACGAGTGGGGCGAACCTAGCCGATTTGGTAAATTATAAATTACTCCATTATTTAATATTAATTCATAAATTATATTTTAATTTTTTTAATATATATAACTCCATATTTATAATGTTATTTTGATTCATAATGTGGGACTATCAAGCCAAGGTCATTTTCATGAATGATAACCATGGAAAACCATTCAAATTTGAGCATGCTTGGCGTATTCTCCACTCTTTTCCAAAGTGGTACCAACAATACGAAGCTCCGATAAATTTAAATTCCTCTCCAACATCGCCCATGGTCGTAGGTGGTGATGTTAGCTCTCCCTCGGATGGAGAGCCACTACAACGCCCTGAAGGTCGTGACAAGCAAAAGGCGAAAAGAAGTGGAAAGACAAAGGCATCTAAACTAGATCCAGTGATGACACAATGTTTTCAAGAAATGGTTCAGAAAGGGAGGGAACAATCGGCAAGAAGAGTTGTGCGCGACGAGCTTCAAAACAAAGCCGTGGAGTCGGAGATATTGAAGAACCAGTATAACATAATCTCTGCAGACCTTTCAGAGTTTTCACCGAGGAAGCAAAAGTGGATTCGGGAAAAACAAGAACAAATCATGTGATATTCTCAAAATACATCAAGTGATGTTCCCAACGCTTCCGTTGAAGAAGAAGTCTACCGTCCCTACTTTGATTTCTAGTTATTTGTGTGTTGTTGTTTTGATTTGGTATTGTGTTGTTAGTTATTTCATGTATGTTTGAATTTTAAATTTCGTATGTTGTTGTTTTAATTTAAATTTCATGAGATCTTATTTGAATTATGTGTTGTTAGTTTAATGTTCAAGTGTATTTTTATTTAAATTGGGTGTGTTGTTATTTCATTTATCCATTTTTTAGTTAATAGTCGAGATACTTATTAAATATTTCGAAATATTACTAAACATAAGATTGTCGCATTATTAAGTAAAATACAAAAAGGATAGAAGTAATTGACACAAACACAAATCTTTTATTAAGGCACGTAAATATTAACGAAATACATAAATATTTAAACACATAAATATTACAAGTACGAAGTCAACACTAGTCAATGAAATAGATAAAATACATAAACAATTAAGGAAATATTTTAAGGAAACACATAAATATTAAGGAAATACATAAATATTAATGACACAAATAAACTACATTCCATTTCCATGGTGCTTCCACAAATAATTTATGAGATCATTTTTAAGCAATGTGTGTACTGATGAGTCTCGAATTCGATTGTGGCGCATCATATACTGACTCAAGGTGGGACCGTCGTGATTAAGATCCAATTCAATGGTGGCACCAATATTGTCATAGTCTTGACTGTAGTCCTGATGGGTTGGTTCTTCATCCCTCTCTTCATATTCATCTTCCACTATCATGTTGTGCATTATAATGCATGCCAGGATTGCCAGCATTATATCACCCAATGTTTGTATGACGTGCAAGCGTGCATGACCTCGCATAATAGCCCACCTAGCTTGTAATATTCCAAATGCTCTTTCAACATCCTTACGAAAAGCCTCTTGCATCGAAGCAAAAGGCCTTTTCTTAGGAGTGTCGGGATGACTTATTGTCTTAACAAAAGTTCCACAAAAAGGGTAAAACCGGTCAGCTAAATAATAACATTGATTATAATGCTTACCATCTTCCTGGAATCCCACCTGAGGGGCAGATCCATTTACAACAGAATCAAAGACGGGAGAGGTAGCTAAAGTGTTCAGGTCGTTATTGGAACCGGCAGTGCCAAAAAATGCATGCCAAATATGAGTATCATAAGAAGCAACTGCTTCGAGTACAATTGTTGGTTTTTTTATACTCCGTGTACTAGCCGCCCCAAGATGTAGGACAATTTTCCCACTCCCAGTGCATGTAATCAATTGACCCAATCATCCCAGGAAAGCCTCTCTTTGAGGATTTTCAAGAAGACGATGTAGATCCCCGGGGTTAAGGGTTCGTAAGTACCAAGAACCATACACACTAACAATTGCCCTACAAAATTTCTTCAGGCATAAAAGTGTGGTCGTCTCACCCAAACGACATAACTGGTCTAAGGAATCAGCCGAGCAACCATTGGCGAGCATAAATATCGCACTAATGAGTTTTTGTTGAGGAGAAAGAGATACCTTATTTGCAACATGAGCTGTACTTAGGAAATAAGGATCAAAGGCCATGACATCTGTCATGATTCGATCGAACAAATGCCGTTGCATGCGAAATCGACGCCGGAAGATACGTGCGTTGTAGGTGGGGTTTGGATTCCAGTAATCATCCATCAACAAACGTTGTCCAGCTTCTCGACCACGATCTATGTACTCACGAGTGTTGGAGCTCGTTGCAACTAAAGAAGCCATCATAGCCATTCACATGCGGTCGGAGTGAGCGTCTTCTTCTTCATCTTCATGAATGGATTGGTAAAATGAGGGAAAAGAACTCATTATTTTCTATGGGAGAAGTTAAGGTGAGTTGTGTGATTCCAATGTAAAGTGAGAGCATGTATTTATAATAACATTTATTCTATGTAGTAACATGGTGGTAAGAGAATCCAATGTAATATAAGAAAGTGTAGACCAAGTGGAGGATAGATCTAATTAATTATAATTGAATACACCAAGTGGAAAATAGCATCCAATTCTAGGAAAGGACACACATAGTGGAGAATAGCATTTTATGCTACGAAAGGACACACATAGTGGAGAATAGCATCCAATGCTAGGAAAGGACACACATAGTGGAGAATAGCATCCAATGCTAGGAAAGGATACACAACTTGAGAAGAGAATCCAATGCTCCAATGTGCTTGAACTCAGTTTGTTAAACGGAAAACGTAATTTTTTTTTACATCGAAATGTGTATTTTTTATTTTATAATTATGCAGGGAAAAAAATTAAAGTAAAACATTACTTATAATAATTTACTTAATGTTTTACTAAATTGATATGTAAAAAATATGCAGAGTGTATTTTATAGACGACGCACGGGTGCAAGGAAAAACTGTATTAACGGAGTCTAAACACTGTTTTCGTATAGACGGAGTCCAAATTTAACAATTTGGACTCTTCACCGCTACAAATGGTCTAATGATGTAAGGTTTCTTTTTGCCTTGTCCGTTTCTTTGGCAATTGGCAGTTCACTGCTCTTGTCATAATTAAACCAACTCTAGAATATAAGGACTCGTGGAACACACTACTGTTTTAATGAGGTGAAATATTTGAGTCTAGCGAGTGAACTTTTTTTGGGTGATAAACTAGCAATCTCATTAAAAGAGTAAATCATTCAATAGTTGGTTTACAACACCTGGTTAAAACTAAGACCTGACTGAAGAACGAGTGAACTTTAAAATAAGGAATATAGAGAAGTGATCAGGTCCAGCCGGAGGGACGGGAAGCGCCGTCCGAACTCCGCCGTTTGGGGCGGTTCCCGGTGGAATTTTTTGATGAAATTTTTTGAGCATGTTCTTCATCAAGTCTAGTTTGTCCATACCAAATTTCAGCTCAAAATTCGATCGGGAAGGTTGTCAAATGATTTTTGCAAGTTAACTGGTCCGGAAAATACATATTCCGGACCAGTTAACTTGCAAAAATCATTTGACGACCTTCCCGATCGAATTTGGAGCTGAAATTTGGTATGGACAAACTAGACTTGATGAAGAACATGCTCAAAAAATTTCATCAAAAAATTCCACCGGGAACCGCCCCAAACGGCGGAGTTCGGACGGCGGCTGGACCGGGGAGGGCTGGACCTGATCTTTCTTGAAGGAATATATTCATAAGTAGAAAGAATGACTCTCTAAAATAAGTGAACATATTCAGATACTAAAAGTCTAAAATACTCCCTCCCTGTATAAATATTCTCAAGCGAGTGATTTATTATAATTTGTTTTTTTTAATAAGCTTATATTTAATGTATGAGTTTAAGTGTATAATCGTCTTTTATAGTCATAAATAAACGCACCACAGATGAATTAAAAATGATCAAAATAAATTTGGCAACATGCTCAAAATTCTCATTTTTTCAAGTATTCCAATTTGTTTAAATCTAGTATTGATCAATCTATTACTCTAGTAAAAATTTGATACTTCTATGTTTTACTTTGTTCTAAGTTGAATTAAGCATAAAAAGGCATCCATACACTATACAAGTTTAAAAGCATGACCAAAAAAGTTATATTAGGTCTGTATTAAATAACTTTGACATGTTGATTTTTGCATTTTTTTTTTACATATTCTACTTTCACTATTTTATACACTTATATTAATTTAATAATTTTTTAAAAATATTGTAAAATCCGTCTCATCATAAATTTTAAATTCTAATTTTTTAATTGTCTTTACTAATAAAGAACACCAATGATTGAAGTTATGCATCGACAAAAGTGAATTTATATATGATATTCAAAAAAACATAGACAAAATAAAAATTTAATAAGATAATAAAACAGAGGAAGACAATCCTAAATGTGAATCAATTTTCCTTAAAAAAATCAATATCAATCGAGAAAAGAAAAATACAAAAGTCCTAGAAGTGGAACAAAAAAGTGGTAGAATCACTAGAATGTTAGAACTCAGGGGAGGATTGAGCCCAGGGTCAGGAATGGCTCAGACCCACCCTTATCTCTTAAATTAGTACAATAGTATATGTGTAATTCTATTCCTTGTATCCAATTCGCTATTCAGAGATATCGATTAGTTATTAGTAAAATACGTAACTATAAAAAACACAACCCTTCATATTAATACACTCAAATATCATCATAAATTATAATGATTTATAATTTATATTAATATTATAACTGCTACATTTTATATTAATATTAATCATTTAAGTCTTCAACCATGTTTTTTTTTTGTTATAAGTCTCCAACCATATAATATATATTATTTTTAATATATATTATTCTATTATCCATCTATATAATACACGATTAATGTATAAAATATGGAATGTTTTTACGATTCTTAACTGAAAGTAATAGTTTAATATAATTCCTATGTGTGTATTCTGACTCTCTTAATATATTAATTAATTAGTCCCTCCTTCAATCAACTAATACAATATTGAAAAGTATACACAAGTCATTGTTAAAAAGTTCACACATGCAAGTATATTAAAAATACTACTCCGTACATATTAAATATCAGATATGTGTTGAGTGTTTTGAAATAATGTAAAAAGATTTGTATTATTTAATGGAGTATTTTGAGTTTGCACTCTATTTTATTGTTCAAATTGGACTTTGCACCATTTATAAAAAATCTTTGTTTTTACATCCCAAATTCATAGGAAAAGACAAAAATTGCCCCTCTAATAACAATTATGATGCCCTTCAATATATTCCTTATTGAGGGGCATCTTTTCTTTTCACGCAGGATTGTGGTGCAGAAACAAAGATTTTTTAAAAGGGGATCCAAAATATAATTTGGACAATAAAATAGAATGCACACTCAATTTACCCCTTATTTAGTTTGGTGGCTGTAAATAGAATTATCAATAAACAAACTGTGTAGATCATTATAAATTTGTGATTCTATTTTAGCGTACTAATATGGAGAGTCAAATTGTATTTTAATGATGTATTTTTATTAATGAATAATTTAATAGGCCACCCACAAATTTAAAAAAAAAAATGTCAGGGCAGCCCATGCTATTACTCCATTAGTCCATAGGTCTGTTCATCCACACTCTCCTGTCCTTCCAGCCAAGCCCACAATTAGACCATGGCCCAAAATCTCAATCTCAGGGGAAGAGGCAGCACCGCAGTAGACCAGCAGTCCGCAATAGAGTCCGCAGCGTTCCGTTAAAGCAAATCCCAACCTAAGCACAACACTTGGACGGCGCACGGCGGTTCAGGCGCTCATCACTTGGACAGGTGGACGGCGCACGGCGGTTTGCCGGTTTGGACTGCTTCACTGCTTAGTTTCTGGCTTTCTGCAATTCTGCTCTTCGGTGGTAAACTGGGACTCTGGACCTGCGTCTTGTGGAACTACCTAACGGGTAAGTTACTAAGCTAATTAAGTTTTTTTAATTTTAATTACAGCCTTGTTTAGACTTTCGTATTACAGTATTGTTTAATTTTAAGTTTTAGTTTTATTGTGTTTTTAATTCAATTTAAAGACTAAATTGAAGCCTTGTTTAGTATGAATTTGATGGTTATTTTGTAAAGTTATAACCATCATTTATAGTAGTATGAATATACTTGTGATTTGTAATTATTAATTTTTTTGGCAAAGCTTCCTAACCCATTATAGTATATGTTCTATGTTAAAGAATAATTTTTTTTACATGTAATAAAACTAGTACAACATATAATTAATCCAGTGTTAGTGCATAACATGTGAAAGATAACTACAAAGCTGAAATTCTCACATACAATTATATAGGAGTTCAAAATTTCCAGGAAAATAAATAAATTATACTACACATTAAATAAATATTAGTGATTTATTAGTTTTTAATCTACTTTAGCAACTTCTATAAAAACAGCAATATATTAGCTACTTAATTCACAGGTTAATTGGAGTATCATTGTATATTAGTTTTGAGATTTTGTTAGATATTTTTCAATTATAAATTAGTATACATAAATGAATTTTTCAGATTTTAGATTTTTTATTTAAGTTCTTGCTAATTCATGAAGAATAAATAGAACTAAACATTTTAAAAAAACTATGAAGTTTAATACTAATATACAAAAAGTATTGAAATTGATAAAAATGTGTAATGTTGAATAAATATAAGGAAAAATTGAAAATAATTATCTCAACTATTGCTGATCCGCTGACAATAATCCCAACTATTGATTATTTTTGTATAATCCCAACTATATGAACCGTCCGCCAATAATGGTCCATGACCAGATATTACCTCTTATAACAAGTGTTTTTGTAATAGAAATTAAGCATAAAAATTAAAAGTTGGATTATTTATAGGGATTACTTGCTATATCTCTTCTTATCCACTTTAAAAACTACAAGAATTTATTTATAGGGACCATTATTGGCGGAAGGTCCCTAAAGTTGGGATTATTCTGAAATAATCGATAGTTGAGATTATTATGAGTAGACCGCCAATAGTTGGGATTATTACGATCAATTTTTCCTAAATATAAATATTGTTACTTAAATTTCTTCTAAATTAATTTATGGCTTTTATTGCTTACATAAATACGAGTATATTGTTTTAACTTAACATAGTGATTAATCATCATTTATTGATCTATCAATTAATTCAATTTATAGATGATATTGGAGACTCAAAACTCAAAGACATTTAAAAAAGAAACAAAGATTCAAAGAATTTAATATAGTGGAAAGTGGCCAAATGTTTGTAAGATTATGAGTGGTTAGAATGACATACAAACATTATATAGTAAGAGTTAGTTTTATTGTGATTCTTATAATGTGCGGAGTAAGTAATAACTTGCTATATCTCTTCTTATCCACTTTAAAAACTACAAGAATTTATTTATAGGGACCATTATTGGCGGAAGGTCCCTAAAGTTGGGATTATTCTGAAATAATCGATAGTTGAGATTATTATGAGCAGACCGCCAATAGTTGGGATTATTACGATCAATTTTTCCTAAATATAAATATTGTTACTTAAATTTCTTCTAAATTAATTTATGGCTTTTATTGCTTACATAAATACGAGTATATTGTTTTAACTTAACATAGTGATTAATCATCATTTATTGATCTATCAATTAATTCAATTTATAGATGATATTGGAGACTCAAAACTCAAAGACATTTAAAAAAGAAACAAAGATTCAAAGAATTTAATATAGTGGAAAGTGGCCAAATGTTTGTAAGATTATGAGTGGTTAGAATGACATACAAACATTATATAGTAAGATTTAGTTTTATTGTGATTCTTATAATGTGCGGAGTAAGTAATAACGATTTGTTTCTTTACCTGCAGATTTACCCGCAGCGTTGAAGATAGAGATCCCATAAGCTTTGGCTTTGCCTCTTCCAATGACCACATCTTATCTAGCTAATTTGGAGTTAACTAGGTGTAGTATGAAAACAACCATCTCATGCCAAAAATTACATACTCGGAGCTCTAATTTATGTGTACATGAATCTCGATGCTCTTTAATTGCTGGTTCACAAACATCTTTAAAGCTGCACCCTCAAAGCAAGACGAAAACCAACATCATGTCCACAACTCCCGATAGAAGCAGCCACATTAGCAGTACAGAGAATAAGGTTAGCAGTCTTACATATAAAGATGCTGGAGTTGACATTGATGCAGGCTCAGAACTTGTCAGGAGGATCGCCAAAATGGCACCTGGAATTGGCGGTTTTGGAGGCCTTTTTCCTTTAGGTATTTTTCTTTGAGCGGTTTGAACTCATTGGTCTATTTAAATGAGTTTTTTATATCAGTATTCTACATATGCTGTTGCTAAATATGAAAAGAATATTCTACACTAAACCATATAAACAGAGTTAAAATCTTTGTCAAGCTGAGTAGACTCTTATGGCATCAACTTTTATTCTTATGTATGTGTACTAGTTCAAGCTCTAGAGGCTTGATAATTTATAACGATGTAAAGTGAGAGTTTGCTGGTGATGTGTTTTACTGGATTCAATGTTGCTAAAGTTGTGACGTGCATCTCATGTTCTTTTTGTTTTGGAAAAACCTCAAGGCTTAATAGTTTAAACTTTAAACCTCCCTGATCCTATTTGATGTTTAAGTTTCATGCATGCTACTATGATCCTTACCCGGTCAATATTTTTAACTTGACTTGTTTTATTTAATATATTTTATGTGGTGCAATGGTCCTTTCAAAATATATTCTAATATTACCCGATTTTTGATGTATTTCTATTCCCTGTTGTTTAACAATATTATTACTATATCAGGTGATTCCTACCTTGTGGCTGGTACTGATGGAGTGGGAACGAAATTAAAACTTGCTTTTGAAACTGGAGTCCATGACACTATAGGGATTGATCTGGTAAGTTTTCTTTTTATTTTACATCACAAATAGTTACTTTTGATGTAAGTCATAAGCTTGTGTCACTCCGAAGTTAAAGAGGCATTTTTGAATCAGGTTGCAATGAGTGTTAATGATATTGTCACCTCTGGAGCTAAACCTTTATTTTTTCTTGATTACTTCGCAACAAGTCGCCTTGATGTTGATATGGCAGAAAAGGTATATGTGTACAATTCACATATTAAGTGGTCTTGGAGTTTTGTATATTATATTATCTGCTCATTTGCTCTTTACTTTTTATTATTATTATTATTATCATTAGGTGATAAAAGGTATTGTAGATGGTTGCAAGCAGTCTGATTGTGCCCTATTGGGGGGAGAGGTAGCCATTAAACTCTCAAAACAAATATATATGTATGTGTGTTACATTTTTAAGCTATCATATCATATCAATGTATTAGCTTTAAAGACCACACATAAATTAATGTTCGCAATGCCTTTTATTAGCACGTTGTGGTGAAATTTATATATTAACTCTGACTTCTGGTTGTGTTGAATGTATCAAATTATTGATTCAGACCGCAGAAATGCCAGATTTCTATGCAAGTGGGGAGTATGATCTTAGTGGTTTTGCAGTTGGTATTGTGAAAAAGAATGATGTTATTGATGGGAAGAATATTGTTGCTGGAGATGTCCTCATTGGTCTTCCATCTAGTGGAGTTCATTCAAATGGATTTTCCCTTGTCAGAAGGTTAGAGCTCTAGCTATTTTTCCCTAGTTATGCATCTTGTGCTCTGTTTTGAATGGATGGAAGGGGGCATGATGATTGATTTTAATTTACCAATTTACCCGTAGTTTTAGACCACACATAATTATATGACTACTTAAATCATATATATTCAAATAATTTTTTATTCACTTTCTTTTTGATCATTTATTTTAAAAATAAATATGGATCTTCCCCTTCTCTCCGCTCCAAAATCCCTGAAGGCCTGAACCAAACAGGCCTTACGCTAAGAAAATGGAATATGCTTCCAGGGTGCTCAAGAAAAGTAACCTTTCTTTGGACGACCAACTTCCCGGCAGCTCTACTACATTAGGTGAAGCTTTAATGGCCCCAACTGTGATTTATGTTAAGCAGGTAAAACTATAATTTACTAGCTGCTGCATTAATGTTTTCAATGTGCACCACTTAGTGATAATCATAGCTGAACTTCGTATATAAGTATGCTTTGTTTTGAGATAAGGTGATGATATTTTTTATTTTCCTTATAAATGTTGCTCAAGGTACTTGAGATTATCAATAAAGGTGGAGTTAAAGGGATAGCTCACATCACAGGAGGTGGTTTTACAGATAATATACCTCGTATATTTCCTAAAGGTTTGGGAGCTGTTATCTATAATGATTCCTGGGTAGTTCCTCCTGTATTTAAATGGATTCAAGAGGTGAGGTTATTCTTACCTGTTCAGTTTGAATCTTTTTGCGCTGCTAGGACTAGTTCACTTGAACATATTTCACAGGCCAGACTTAAGGAAATCCGATCTGCCCAACATAAAATGATAATAAAATAAATTATACATAAAGCGGCCATATGAACATGTCTGTGTACATAATATCTGATCCTGCATTTTTAAATATCTATGATGTCAAGGCGGGTAAAATTGAAGATGCTGAAATGAGGAGGACTTTTAACATGGGAATCGGGATGGTCCTGGTTGTGACCCCAGACATGGCTCTTAAAATTTTAGAGGACAACTCATGCAATGCTTTCCGTATTGGTGAGGTAGTTGACAAAGATGGAGTAAGATACCATTAACAGTGGAGGCAAGAGCATTCTGTATCAGTATAAGATATGTTTTTCTCACATTCTTCATCTCAGGGCTCTGGAAAATTACTGAGCAGTGGAATGTGATATAAGCAGGTTCATGATTTTGTAGAAATAAAACAGGCCAAACTGTAGGGGTTATGTAGACTAGTGTGAAGTTGGCCATCTCAGTTTTACTATTTTATCGAAGTTGGTTCTCATTTTGTACTATGAAAGCTGTCAATTTAGCTCAAAAACTCTTTAACAGAGATCCCTTTGGTTCTACATTTTTTTAAATCAATTTTGACATTCAGCTCCATTGGACCAAGGGAGTGTTTGCATGAACTTAAAAGTCTATAATTTGAGTTTGTAAGCCAGTTTGGCTAAATATATTTAAAACTTTTCCTCAGAAACTATCAAGGGGCCTATCCCATGTCAATAACAACAACATTACCCAGTGCATCAAACGGGCTCAATACTAATTGTCAATAAAAATACTTCGTATTGGATAAAGCATGATGTATGAACATATGGATAAAGGTTTGTGAGTTTAAATTAGGGGCGGGACCGGGCTCGGCCCTTAGTATTTATAGCGTGGTATACTGGTAACTACCTGGTTTGGTCCGGTACCGGTCTATGGTCAGGCCTAGTCCTGGACTCAGGCCGGGTGGCCTGACCCGGAACTGGCCTGGGACCGGCCTAGCCTGGTGGCCCGGCCAGTGATCGGTCCGGGTAGGCCCGGCCCAAGGGGTTCCCGGTGCGGGCTCGGGTCACCCAAAAGCCGAACCGGCCCGGCTGGTTCGGGCCTGGTTCCGGGCCTTTTATTTTATTTTATTTTCAATTTTTTTTTCAATTTCTTTTATCTTTTCGGGTTGGGCTGGATATTTTGGGCCATTTGGGGTGGGGGGTGGGGGTGGGGGTGGTTAATTAGGAAAAGGAAAAAAAATTGACCTGAGGCCCAGCCTGGCTCGGCCCGGACTTGGTGGCTACTTGGGCCGGTCCCGGACCTCCTTAAAAAAACCCGAGGCCCGACCGGGCTTAGGCCCGGCCCGGGTCCATGACTAGTCGGGCTTGGGTTGTATTCGCCCATTTTTATTTTTTTAAATTCAAGCCCTTTGGCCTAGACCGGTACTGGAAAGCTAGGTACCAAAGAGTACTGGTCTGGGGTCTGCTTGTGTTGGGCCGCCTGGGCCCGGGCCACCCCTAGTTTAAATGGACTTTAAAGCTACTGGTAATAGATTAACACTACATTCTACTCACTGATTTTTTCCAGTTCAGAGTATTTAAAGCTCTACAAATTTAAAGCCTTAATTTCTTATATCTACATTTAATAAATTTAGGAAATGCGGAAATGAAAATTATGTTTTTTTTAGGGAAATGAAAATTATAGTTTACACAAGAACATCATGTGTGGATGAGCGTTAGCTGAGGTAGGGGCAATGAATCCAATGATGAATAATAATGCGTTCATATTAAAAGAAAAAGGGCAGCAATTGGACTTTGACATCATGTCCATTATCCATCTACAATATCCTCTTCTTCTTTTGCGACTTGTTGGAATCCATATCCTTAATGCCGCTTTCATACACCAGTTGGCAAAAAGCAAGTTCCTCTATCTCTTTCCCACTAAAAGAGGGCAAATCAAATCACACTCAATAAATTGAAGTATACATGATAGTGGACTGGATTTTGGGGAACAGAATGATGGAACTCCAATGGATTAAATGTGTATGAATTTAAGTTGTTGAATATGAAACCTGCGGAGAATAAATATGCAACCGCTCACAAGTTTAATTGGGCTAACAAAGCTAGGGTGAATTGATGAGAGTTACGGTTGATATTTGTGTTATCTTATGAGTAGTTACTTTTATTTGTGCTTGTCAGTTGATATGCCAAATAATGTCGAGGATGACGAAATAACCACTCACAAAATCGAACAGGTAAATTTGGAGTGAATTGATAGATAAATGTAATATTTCTGTCAACATTCTTAAATTAGAACTTGTAACATCTACTTTGAAAGTGTTATCGCAATGTCATCACATCACAAAGCAATTGTGGCAAATTTGATATCAACACCAATTGTGACAAATTTCGTTTGATATCACTAAATGCAACACTCTTGAAAAGTATTAATCGGTAATAACTAATATTTCAAATTAAATTTTTAGTTAAATTTGGATACAACAAGAATCCGTACTAGAGAAGTTGAAAATGATGACAGTACATGTCACCTACACGTAATATGCCTTGTCCAACTGAGCGCGTGGATCTTTGAGATTGAGGATTTAATCTTTGGAGGAACACAAAATGTATTAGAGATTATACTTGTAACCCTACTCTGCTCACATGTGGTATATAGTTATATACATCTACCTTAATTATTTAAATGGCCAAACCATTGAACCAATCAAGTCTTTGAAACAGACAGAGCATTTCACCACAACACGATGCTTTAACACTATCACGTATTCACGTGTACGGATACTTTAACCCTTGCATGACTAAAGATAGTAGCGAGGGTTTATCAGGACAGCCGCTTAGGATTGTATGTTTGATTTCCCTTAAATTGGATTAAATATTACCTTTAATTTCTACCCCTAATTTAATTAATATAATTAGTTGCCCTTAACTCCTTTGCATAACCAAGGCTAGCTTAGCGCCTTGGTGATGTTCTGACTCGTAGGTTCTTGGACTAAATAGCTCCCCTTGCGGGTTGTGAATATACCCACAAATTTATTGAAATCTAACCATCATTCCGACCTCCAGGTGGGAAGAAAGTCATTGCTAGCTCTATGACCGGTGCTAACGTACATACATACACATGGTAGTTCTGTATGTTTGAATCGTTTCGTACGTTTTCTGTATGAAAGCAATATTTTTTAATAATTTATTTAAATGACTTCTAGATTAAATCTAAACTGAAATTTTGTATACATAATCTACACTATATAGAGAACGTGCTCATAAATTTTTATCAAAAAATTCCACTTGGATGCATATTAAAAAATTCCTCCTGATAAGTCATTAGTTTAAGACTGAAAATCAATCCACTCACACATACTATAAGGAATTAAATCTGAGCCTCATTTTTTTTCATTTTTGGGCCGACCCTGTGCAGATATCCTATATATACATATGGTATATACCACAACTTAAAATTAGGTTAACGAGAATCGGAGTAATTTTCCCATATCTCCCTAATTAATCTGGGTAAAATATTACCCCGTAGTAACTTTTATTTACCTCAAATTCGGTATTTTTTTTCGCCGTCGATCTCCTCAATGGGTAAACCGTAAACCCCATTTTTTTCAAATTTATTTATTTTTGTAAATCTTTATACATATAAAGGGAATATGGTGGAAATCCAAATAGAAATCTATTTGGAGCCAAAAGAAGTGAAAAATTGTTGTCACTATTAATGAAGCATTACTTAATGAAGTCATATTAAGTGTCAACCTAATTAATTGTTGTAAGTTACAAATAAAACTTTAGGAAATTGTTGTCACTATTAATGAAGCATTACTTAGTGAAGCCATATTAAGTGTCAACCTAATGAATTGTTGTAAGTTATAAATAAAACCTTAGAAGATTATATTGAGCATAAATACATTAAGTATTAAAAAAAATATTAGAAAAATATTAAAAGACACATATACATAATTAATTAAGAGACATAATATAATAAAGTCAAAAATGAAATGTTCTAATTTCAGAGTATAAAATAGAGTATTACATTATATTTGGATACAAATATTATGCAAAGGACAATGATAATACTTAGTACCCCATTAAATGTGTCCAGACTTGCATGTGGAATATAAATAAAGTAAAAATTACTTTGTATGTGATTGAAATTTTTACAAATGAGTTGAGAAAAATATTTACCCACACATTTATTAGTTTAATTAAATGGAAATGACAATTTTTGTTGGGGCAGTTGCAAAAATATAGTTAGCACATTTTAACGAGATGAGGGAGTAATTGTTTTTTTATAATTAGCTGCAACATAAAATACAAAATTCATTCATTAAATTCTACTATAACTATTCATTAGTAAACAAGTAACTATTTTAAACATCCTTTAAAATCACATTTTTTAATGATGTTTCCTGATTTTGAAATGATTTTTAGCATTTCCAGTTTTGTTTATGAGTCAAATTGGTTCAATGATATTGAATTATACAATTTTACGATTCAACTCGCGACTTTAACAACATTGATATGTAGTGATTTTAACAATCTTGATCTGTAGCTTTTATAAAACATATATTGAGATGAATAAAGAGATATTACGGAGTATAAAATAAATATTTTCACTTTTTAGATGGAATATATTTAGAAACTTTAAAACACAACAAGATATTAAAAAGTAATGTCATGTGTTGAAAAATCATCATAATTATAACTAAATAATACTCCATACTACATATGAGATTGTAATATGATAACAATTGTTATCATCTTCAATCTTCATTAGACAATATATGTATGTGATGAAAGAATACTTATTTGGTAGTTTTATTACTTTATACCAATTGGTGTATCTCTAACAATTATCATACATGTATTCTAATATAATTCCATATCGTGTTTGTATTTTTATACAATAAGTATGTATATACACATTACTCATGAAATAAATTATTTGTAAAAATAAATTGATTTCACTTATTCTCCGTGCAACGCACGGGTGGATTGACTAGTTTATTAATGAATGGTTATAGAGCGGGATATATTCGGCGCCATCAATAGGCTGAATGAGGAAGCTGGCCGGGAACTTAGGTAATATATAGGAATCGGTCTTTCCTCTTTTTCCGGAAATGAATCAAAGATTCCTTCTAAAAAAGAAAACTTATGGAAGATGAAGGAGAAGAAAACTTACTTTGATAGTTGAGTGCTGGACTGCTGCAAGCCTCTGCAGTTGATGTGGAGGGAAAGGAGTATGTAGCGAACAGTTACAGTAGAGCAGAGCAAGGAGGTTTACGTTATGTGTTTAGAGTAGGTTAAGTTGTTTTGACCTTATTTACATGGGCTTTAGTAAAAAAGGGTTTTTTAATGGTTTTTTTTACCGCACGTGTGAAAGGGGACTCAGTAAAACCGGAAATAAGCCCTCCCCTGTCACTTAAGCGAGCGCTTTAAAGCGCATATGCGCTTCTGCGCTTTGTGCGACTACCTACGACTTAGAAGGTAAGGTGCGACTGGCCATCTATAGGGCGCTGGACCTATCTGTCGCTGCGCCTGGTGCACTTAAGCGCTCAGGCGCACGACTTTGACAACCTTGGCCTTCTGCCTATACTGTTTGATATCTAGAAGGGGTCGTCAGAGGACTCTCTGTCTTCTTGTCCAACATTTCTACCGGGTCATCGGAGGACTCTCACATCGTTCAAGAACTCAAATTTGTGTTTATGTCTTTTGGGGTGACCATGTGTCTCGTCCCAAGCAATGGCGTAGATAG